ATTCATTCATTCATTCATTCATTCATTCATTCATTCATTCATTCATTCATTCATTCATTCGTGGGGAATAAGTTTTCCTAATAGACCTACAGTTGCTACGACGCCCTTATTGCCTAGTCCTAGTGTTTATCTAGGTTCTGGTGCTCAAATGTAACAATGTCGGACCTTGGGAAGCGTGGAGGTGTAGGCAAATGATGAATGAACAGCGAAAACCTTAAGAGGCACACTAATTCGTCTATCCTGGGCAACGGAAACTTCGGATTCACCGCAATTGTTCCGGGGGTCGAAGCCGAAGTGCATGCACAACCTTGAGTCTTTTGTGTTCAACATCAGATTGTATTCTGAGGCAAGGTGTCTATATCTAAGCAGCATCTCTAAATGGTGGGTGCCGGCGAAGGCATTATTCGTGAATTGTAATAACATTTTCTGCTTCACGTTATGCATATACTGGCTATGCGACAGGGAATCCAGATGTTTGTCGCTTCGAAACCGGAGTGCCAAAAATTATGGTTTTCTTTTCGGAGAGAAGAGAAGCGCTGAAGCCTTGAAATTGATTTTATGTAGACAGTGTTAAGTCCACACGCCCACAGAACTGACGTGCCAAGCACCAAGCTTCCCAGGATGAGACTTGGTTGGCTTCACGTACTAGACATTCTGGTATCGTAATGGAGCATGTGGGGCATCCCAATGTTGCAGTGGTTCTCATGCGTTATTGATGAAGCTTGCAATAATGACGAGGGGCCCCCGAACTGAAGCCGGGGGACACTGCGAGCTGCAATACAGCCGAACAGTTGAAGTTCAAGTTCACAAGCAGCTGACATCTAATTCAGTCCTCACGCATCTGACCCACAGCAGGCCAAGGGCCTAGCTAGAAGATGGGGGTCCCTACATGAGCTGCAGCGTACGTTACAGGAACTCATTCTTCAAGACGAACCCTCATGCAAGAAAACCATGGTGCTTAACGTTACGTATACTAGGACTGCACTTAATTGTCAAGCATCTACTTAGCAATATCCTCAATATCCCACCGGTTAGTCTGTTGCCACGCTCAGAAACCCTGGAGAGAAGCGAGCCGAGACTCTGTGGAACTCTTACAAAGGGTTCTAGCATTGGTTGCACCCAACTACAAATATGAGACTATTCAAAGGATTCGCTCTCCAGATGACAGACAGTTCGCAAAAGCCACTGGCCAGCTCTATCCACAGCCCAGCTGGGAGGTAACCTCTCCTCTGCTTACTTCAATTCGATCCCATATTCCAGAAGTTGTGTGCCCCCTTGCTAACCCATCCCAGCCAACAGTTCATCCGTTGCAGGCACTTACTCACCATCCAGCAGGCAGTTTGCATACAAGCTGCATCCACCGATACCTGACTAGCACTGATGCATGAGAAGGAGCTACCCTACTATAAGTTATTCGTGTCAATGCGGACTATACTGCTCTACGACTGAAATCGCGCCAAATGTTGCTCTGCGCACCACTACACTGCAGAGGGGAAATCCTGATCGCAATCGATCAGCCGGCGCCTAAGCCCTGGCAAATGCAGCTGTGGCCCCCGGGGGAAGCCTCATATAGCCCTGTAAGCATGCATTTCTCGTTGCGTTGCGGTCCGGTCCCGCCAGCACCAGCACGTGATAGAGTAAGGCACAATGCAGTAGACCACAGCTGGTCACAAAATGACAGTGCAGTAGTATACGAATCACTTCCACACACAAACTAAGACCCCAAACAACATGGGCATTCGTGCGCAAACACAGGCGTCTTCACAAGGGTTGAGGCTCGCTGGACACCAATTGTGCACCTTAAACATTCTACTGTGGGATTTTAGGGTTTAGTGTACGTTTCGACTGACGCAAGCGTGCATTTCCAGAAGGTCATTTGCTCGTGCCCCTACGGTAGAAGGACTTAACCTAAGTGACTCTGTAGTCTGTCTACTCCCTCTAAAATTGAAGGTACATGACACTGTGTGTTGTCAATTTACGAACCTCCATACGATAGAATCCGCAATACAAGCCAATGAACGTACAGCTACGGTTGCCTCCCATCGTTGTAGCAGCGGTAAATCCCACATGTTACAGGCCGTGCTGCGCGCGTTTGCATGATGGTTTCACGGTATAGTTGCAAACAGTGTCTAATTGCAAACAGTGTCTAACCTTTCATTTAAATCGATCTCCTGAAAACCGCGAAGCAGCTACAGGCCTTCGTCCAATTTCACGAATGCTACACTATTGCTGAAACAATTTTAAACAAGAAGTGCATGCTTGCATCTCCGAGTAAGTGCAACAGCCACACGGCAAGCTCTCCACATAAGTAGCACATTGCCGATCTAGTGATCCAAGCAATTTTCGAACGCACTAATGCACAAAAGACTGAGAAAATTCTCCAGCAACAAGAGCACCAGCGAAGAACGAAAGTGTCAGTAGCGGCACAGAAAGTGCTATCGCCATTTCCTGGTGCATAAGGGCAGGCCAGGCGCCGAGCATACACGAGAAACGTTTCCATGAAGATAGCTATACACCTAGCTTGCTCCACCGAGGCGGCGTCTGCTGCAGCTGTAAACAGTAACTGTTCCGTCGGGTTGGCAAAAGGCGCCTACGGCAACAAAAGAAGTCAGATGTCAGTCTCCGCACTAAGAAGTTGTTGCATCGCCTTTAGCGCCGCTGCGGTGTCGCTGTGCTGCAACCACAGAGCACCCTCAGCAGAAAATAAAACCTTAATACAGCCCCCACAGCTGCAGCAGCTGCTGCTGCAGATGCTCTTCCCCCTGGGGCCATCTCTACTTGAGGTTCCTGCCTTATCAGCACCAGATACTCTATAAAGGTCTTAAAGCTCTTCAGGTCTAGAGATACAGTAGCCAATATCAACAGCAGTAAAGAACCTCGGAAGCAACAACCTACGCAGCAGGAGACGTCATACCTCAATAACAGTTGCATGTGCTGCAGCAAGACCCATCGTAGCTTTCGCTAAAATTGCCATAGCAGCAGTTTCGGTCTCTTGCTCCTTTAGGGCGCAAGGAAACTTTGGCCGCGGGCGAACCGGCTGTAGCTGCTGATTCTGCTGTGACTGCTGCGCACGCTGGTGCTCTTGCAAAAGCGGGCCCCAAATGCTCAAAGGCAACAGCTTCTGAAGCAGCTGCTGCAGGGACCGCACCGTCCTCACGCTGGCTGAGATAGCGGCGGTGCTCCTGTTGCCGCTGTTTTCACCTGCATCTCCTGTCATACCAAGGGCTTCGAAGTACTCGTCATCAATCGCGGCAGAAGAAACAGCGGCAGCCGTCGCTGCAGCTGCGTCGTCTGGTACCGTGTCTGTAGGCGCTTCGGGTCGGCAAAGTCGCTTGCACACACCCAAAGCCTCGCGTAACAACACAGGATGGGGCTCGCATGCACCTAGGAACAAACGGTGGACACGCAAAAGCAGCTTCGGGTGCTCCCTGAGTTGCAGTTGCTGTTGCTGCAGTAGGTGCTGCAGCTGCAACTATACGAACCTGACTCTGTGGCTCAACAACCTACGGCTAAGCAGCCTCAGAGGCCTTTAATATATGGCAAACGTGAATGAACGATAGTGGAGAGGGCTTTTAGTAGGCCTCTCATGCATGCATGCAAACACCTGGCTCCTAAAACCAGAGGTGAGTCTGGTGCAACTGAACATCAATTTACACCCATGCATGCATTGCCACCTGATTGAACGTCTTCCAAATACTGGATCAGTCTCTGAACATTGCGCCTACAGCACTCAAATGCCTCAATTTGTTGTTGGAGTCTCGCTGGAGCTGCTTCAGTTGCGGTCGCTGCTAAAGCCACATGGACACAAAACCACAGACAGCCCAGTGAGGTGAGTTAAGTCGGGGCAAACGAAAGGAGAGGAGAAAACAGATCCTGGAAAGACGGGAAGTGGGGACGTGGCAGAAAGCTTTTTATAGTGAACAGGTGCCGCAGGGCTTAAGAAGGACACCTAAACAGTCAGAATCCGAGCAACGCGACAGAGGAGGAGACACAAAGGAAAAGCAGAAACGGGTGGAAAATACAAAAACGCTGCAGATACAGACAACGCGGAAAAAAGACGAGGCAACTGCAAAGAAAGCTAAGCAATACAACTTTATCGGACTTTGTGCTGTGGTCTCATTCAAAGCTCCAACTGGTCCTGCCCTTCTCGCAACCGCCTCTGCAGCTATTTTCGCCATGAGGCTCTACGAAGACAAACAGAGCAATGGAGGTCTAGGGGCCCTGCTTGCGCGACGCCGTCTACGGCTATTTAACTGCCTAGTTTTACTTTGTCCAGTCCCTTCTCCCCCTGAACTGTATTTCACTCTTAGGGTCGTACACTACCTATGCCTTCCCCAGCAGGTACAGCGGCCACCACGGCAGCAGCAACGACTTGTGCCACAGCAGCACTGTAGTATGAGAGGCACCAGCAACACACGGAGGGGCAAGCGCGGCGCTACAGTGGGTGAGGAAGCAGATGCTACCGTTTGAATCCTTAAATGCAGACGCCTAAGCTGCAGACCCCTGAGGCCGCTACTGCCGTCGCTGCTACCGCTCGGCAGGCAAGCGAAGCACTGCGTAGGTGGTTTATGTAAACCCGAAGCACCGTGCGACGCATAATCGAAGACAACAAGTAGGGGGAAATCAGAACCCCACTTTGCCTGAAAATGCACAAACCCTAAACTATCATACCTAACATCCTAGGCCACACCAGAGACCAAACCTTCAGTCCTGACCCATAGGCCCCCGTACAGCCTCTTCTGACCTGTCGTTGCAGTGAGTACAACGCTGTGAGAATGTTCCGAGATCAAGCAGACAGCAAGCACCAGCAACAGCACAAGCACCAAAATCGGCAGAAGCAGCACCAATAACAACCCATGGAGCACAAAATACCTGCGTGAGCAGCGAAGTGACCGCATGAGGCAGTTCTTGTTGCACCGGAGATTTTGTGAAGAAATAGATACCCAAAGGAACCAAAGCCTTATCGAGGGCCTGACGCAACAACACCGAGTCCTGCACTACACTCCTGCCACTGATGCAGCAGGTGCAGCTGCACCTGGGGCTGCTGCTGCTGGTCTCCTGCTGAAGCAAAGATAGGGGCAGCTCAGCGCACTCCGTTACAGAGATCGCATCCAAGCCGCCGTCCTCCTTGGATGGCCCTATGCCACCAAGCAACAGCAAACACAGAAAACACTGCAGCTGCAGCAGATTCGGCAGCAGCTGCTGCTGCTAACGCAAGCGTGACGGTACCAAAATTCTTCAAACACACGTATGAAGACGCCACCACCAAGCACAGCAGCAAGACATTGAAACGGGAAGGCCAAACAGAGGACGAGCCGAAGCAGCAACCTACCAAGCAGAAGGCCCACTACGGGGACAAGAGGAATGCTATCCTGCTGGTGCCGCTGGCGCTGCCAAACCTGAATGCGCGTTGCATGTGCCGCAATGGACAGCAACACGACAGAATCCAGATGCCTACAGCAGAAACCATAGCCTGCCACGCAGCAACAGTAATATCAGTCCCCACAAACTCAGGAGCAGCAAAACTAGTAGCAACTGAGACGAAAGAGAACCAAATTGAGTTTGCGTGCACGTACACTTCGGGCACAGCGCTGCTGCCTCCGCTTGTCAAGGTGCTAAAGCTGCCATTGTTGCTGCTGCTGGTGTTGCTGCTGCTCGTGGTTGTCGGAGTGGCTATCATCCTAGCAACAGCATCGAGGGCATGAGGCCGTTGGTTGCTTGGTGTGCTGTATGAATGCAAATTTTTCTGCTGTTGTTGCTGTAACCGCTTCAGCTGTAGGTCCACTTGCTGTAGGTGCTGGTTCTGCCTTTCCTCGCGGTCAACCAGCAGCTTCTCCTGCTGCTGCTCTTGCAGCCCCGTCTCGCTGTGCTCAGAAAATCCACTCCTCCTGGGCTTGCTGATTTCTCTCGATCTTTTTGGCCTTTGCCCTGCCTGTTTGGTCGGGGTTTGGGAAGCACTCGCCTCCTGACTCTGTCGATGGTCTTGACTCTGCTGATTCTGCTGCTGCACTGCACATAGATAAGGGCGCATCATAGGAAAAACCTTCGATGGTTCATGGTGTCTTAGCGCCTGAAGGTCCACAAGTCCAACCTCGAGGAATAGGCGGACGCGCAAAGCATGCACACAGCAGCGCCACGGGCCTCCCTATCCGGAGCAGAGGGAATATAGCCACGTAGCCACAATGTCTTCTGCCTCAGATAATAACACCCAACTAGTTTTTTAATTCTACACTACTAAATAAACCCTTACACCCCTTATCTTCCATTCAGGCCAGTAGTGGTGGGGTCAAGCCCAACGCTCGTGTTGGCTCAACGGGACCCCCGAGTGATCACTGTATGAGAACTACGGAAAACTGTCCATAGCGAGCGTCAACAGCAGTATCAGAAAGGTAGATAGCAGCAGCAGATATTCTGTTCTACTGACCATCTGTCCCGAGCAGTATCCGTTTAGTCGCAAGTAGGTGGTTGAGCAAACCATTGAAGCCGTGCATGACTGGCAAGCCATCAATCAAACCCAGATTTGGCCGGATGACTAGCTAGCTGGCAAGCTAGCAAAGGTCTACACAGCTTGCTAGCTATCTAGCCAGCTCGGCCGTGGCACAACATCGCACTATGCTTACGAGACGGAGGGCCCCGCGGCAGGCCGGGCAGCAGCGGCCGCCGCGGGAGATCGCTGCGTCTCGCGGCCCACAGCCACAGCCGCCTGATGCATGCGGCTCAGGCCATTCGCCTCCGCAGACAAATGCGCCACAGAGGAAACAGTAGAAAAAAGTAATGCTGTGCTGCATGGAGGGAGCAGCAGTTTGGATCTCCTCTTCACCCTCATCTGCGCGGGCGTCCCCCGTGCATCGAGAATTAGGCAGAGGGGCACCTTTAGCCCCTTCACTTTCGGTGTACAGACACCTCAGGCACTGTACACAAGCAGGGAAGCGGTGACCGTAGGTAGCACACACGTAGCAACGAAAAGGCTGCGAGCTGCTGCATCCTTCACACTGACACAGGGGGCAGAAGCTTAACCAAGCTTTGCCTAAGTTGACAGCCTCAGCAGCAGCAGCGCCTCTGGGCACATCCAATCCACTGAAACGCCTAATAAGTTCCTGCATGCTGTCTTCTTCTACAGTTATTGCTTGAAAGGGCGGGAAGGCGCTGAGGCTGCTGCTGCCACTGACTGTCCCTTCAAATGCGAAGAGCATCAAAGCCTCACTATTGCTGCTAGTGCTGCTGCTGTTGCTGTCCCTCCTAAGCAGGTGTTTCGCATGAAGCGATTCCTGCAGAAGGAGTAAAGGCAGCAGCTGCTGCTGTCTTGTGGTCGGCGACACTGCCATCAAGAAGGCCCCGCAATTTGGAGCACGGCTGCGCTTTAGCAGGCATGCCAAGAGTGCATTCATATGCTGCAGGAGCAAAAGGGCAGCCTCCCCTCTATATTTTTCTCCCTTAATAGCTGCAAAGATTAGCCGCAGCCTCAATGCCGCTGCAGCAATTATGAGGCGCCTCTGGTACAGAGACGATGCAAGACCCTTACAATATGCGCTGCTGGAGGGCAGCACTGCGCTGGAAGGCCTCTCTTCTGCGCAGCGTGAGCCTCTGCCTTCTGTTGCTGCAGCTGTTGCACACCTGGCAGGTTGTTGGCTAAGCTCCAAGAAGCGCAGGAGACTCATGGCCTCTGCTGTCTCCAAGAGAGCCGACCACAGGCCACCGTTGTCCCCCTTAAGTGCGTCGTCTCTCGCAGCCCCTCCTTGCAGCGCCAACTCCCAAATAGATTGCAGCGTGCGCCGCACTGCCGCAGCCCCTGTCTCCATATGAATCGCCTCTGGAGCTGCTCGTTCTGTTGCTCCGCCAGGTGTTGCAGTTGCTGCTGTGGCTGCAGTTGCAGCAGGCTCCTCCCCAGTTGTTGCACCTTGATTAAAAGGGCCTTGCAAGGAATGAAAAGACAAAGGCTTCTCTTTCGACTCTCGAAACATATCAGCAAGGAGGGAAGCCGAAGTGACCACCACGTGTGAAGGCTCCGCTGAGAGAGTGTCCCCTCCCGTCCCCCCATTGGTGGGGATTCGACTGGAAACAGCAGCGGCTGTCTCGGCGCTGTCAGTATCCCAGTCGGATACAAGAGAGAATTCATCGTCTTCACCATGCTTCCTTGCCTCCTGTGTGTCTCTGCTGTCCTTGTCTTTTGACGCTCCCCCCCTCAGCATACGTCTCCTATGTTTAATGGCGTCTTTGGGAGCAGTCGGCACCGACAGAAAACGCTGAAAGGGGCCCCGTAACGCCAACCTGAGAGCCCACAACCCATGGGATTCTGCGCAGCAACGGGCTGCTGCTGCTCTTGCTGTTACGTCTGTTAGGTACGCAGCTTCTGTTGTAGAGACTGCAGCAGCCGCAGCACCTCCATGCACGTTCCTCGAGTTCGGCAAGCCATGGAATCCTCCTCCTGCTGCCCGTGCCGACTGCAACAGCCCTAACAGCTGCGCTTCCAGAGACAGTAAAGACACTGCAGCAGAAGAGACGGCTAATGGGGCCACTGCCAATTGGAGGTGCACTTCGTTCTGCTGCACCAATGTAAACAGTAGGGAGCCGCAAGGCGATGGTAGCAAAACTGCGCACACAGGGCAGACAGCATAGAGGAGGGCCCTGGAGATCCGTATCTTCGATGCTGATGACTCACATAGCAGCAAGTAAACCGCCACAGCAGCAGCTGACAGCAAAACCAAAATTTATGTACGCAGTTGGAGGCCCTACCGAGCAGACGACGGCTCAGGAGACTGTTCAATCTGCGTGCCTTTACACTCGGGGGGCACAAACTGCCCCATGGGTCCCCGTCTTCTCTCCAGTTTTCCTTCAACATGTAGGGCTGCTGTTGCTGGTTATGCTTCTGGGGCTGCTTCTGCTGCTCCTCCTCCTCCTCCTCCTCTATCAAACAGTGTTGATGTAAACCTGCCATCGCTGTCCCTTCAACCACCTGCTGCTCGTCCACAGGATGTGTGCATTCTTTAGCCCCTTCGACGGCTGCAGCAGCTGTAACTAGAGCCGCTGCTGCTGCTGCTGCTGATTTGGCTGCAATTGCTGCTACCTTAGCAAGCCCTCCATCTGAAGCCTCCGGTGCAAGGGCTCTGAACGAATGAGCAGCTCGGGGCATAAGCAGCTGCTCTATGCGCCCCGTGGGGTGGATGGACGTAACTGGGGCCAGCGGCTCCAACACCCACCGCAGGTGCATCCTCCTGCAACAGTAGCTGGTGTTGCTGCTGTCTAGGAATTGCCCGTTGCAGTCAGGATACAGCACAAAAGGCAGCAGGGCTCCCTTGCTCACAGCTGCTAACAGCATCAAGAACGGTTTGTCTCCTCTTTGCAGAAGAGCCACTTGCTGCGCCGCAGCCGCTGCCTGCGGAGACAACACAACGCAATGGCCCTTGCATGCAGTCCCGATATGCCCTAAATGCATTCCAGCAAAGGCTTGTCTGCGGCGTGTGGTGCCTCTGGCACGCAACCAACCCTCAATGGAGGGCTTCCATCGTCCACTGGGACCCCTGCCTCAGAGGAGATACCGCTACCGCTACGTCTGCGTTGTCTCGTCCATCACTCAAGAAACGTCGTAGCGACGGGAGGCCAAAATGGCTTTGAACAATCCACTTGGCTCTGTCAAATGCAGCATGCACTGGAGCGAGTTGTGTCGCAGGGACAGCTAGTAGTGCCTCTGTGGGAGTTGAGGGCCTACAGGAAAGACTTACCAGCTGAAGAGGCACTGTGGGAAGAAGACAGAGACTGACAACGGGCCCTTGGATGACGCGCGACCAACTGGCAGAAAAAAGGGGAACCTCAATTCTGTAAATGGCGGGCTGGGTGTCCTCGGCCTCTAAATCTCCGTCCCCCCAACGGCAGCATGGGGAGCCGGACAAGCAATGCCTGCAGCCGACTGCAGCACTAACAGAATCAGAAGTAGCACCAGCAGCAGCACCAGCAGCACAACAGCAAGTACGCATCACTACGGCACGAAGACGCGAGCCGCACACGAACGCAGCAACTCTCCAGCAATTAAGGAGCGCCATTTCTTGCTTCTCCTGCTGCTGGTGATGGTCTTGCTGGTCGTTCTCTGCAAGCGATCTGCTTGCAACTGCTTCTGCGTGCGCCGTTGCCGGAGCTTCAGCTTGTTTGCCTTCTGCTCCTGCTAGGGGCAGCAAGGCGTCACTAACATCAGCGAGCTGTAGCAGGCCGCTGGGGCCTCCCACAGGACCGAAGAGCAGCAACGGCTTCGCAACAGTTATCGCCTCAACGCAAAACCTTGCGGAGGGCTGCAGAAAGTCTGGGGTGTCGTGATGATGTCCCCTGCACCCACTGCTTTCCGCAAGTTGCTGCTGCTGCTGCAAGCACACCAAAAAGGAGCAGCTAAAGAGCCAAACCGCCCCGCTGCCTGCTGCAGCTATCAACTGAAACGAACAACAAACTGACTCCTGCGAACCCCGAGAAGCTGGTAGGGGACCCCTGTGAGGGGACCCTTCCGGAGGGACCCCTGATGACGCCGCAGCCTTCGAGCTACTGCACACCCGCGGATTACTCACAGCCATATCTGTTACAGTGTCTTGCAACAACGTTGGAGGTGTTGCCCACCCACAGCCGCTGCTGTTGATATCGCTACTGCTGGTGCTGCTGGTGATAGTGGATTGGGGGACAACTAAAACCATCAAAAGCAAGGGCTGCAGCAATCCAGCCGCCGCCGAAGCTCGCTCTTCTTCTGTTGCCTCAACGGCAGCATCGGCTGCTAGGCGCCATTTCTGCTGCTGCTGCTGCTGCTGCTGCAACGAGCTTGCACATGGTGTTGCCGCATTCCAATTTTCAGCGCCACCAGCAACTGCTAGTTTGCTCTTCTTCAATTTTGCTTTTGACACTTTTTTGCCTCTGCGGCCCCCGGCCGCGTCGTCTTCAGAAGCCAAGCTACCTGCATCGCTGCCATCGTTGCTGCTGACGCTGTTGTTGCTGCTGCTGTTTGCGAGGCTCAGGGAGCTGGAACTGCAGCTTTGGGGATCTGATGCGGCGAAGCTGGTAGACGAGAGTGAGCCAAACTCTGCATACTCAGCAAATTCGTCTCTATTGATGGCGGCCCCGGCAGCTCTGCGGCCTCCTCTGCGGCTAGCAGCAGCAGTTGAGCGTGGTGTTCGACTTCCCTGCAGCAGCTTCACTTTGCCGTTTGTCTCGCATGCCTGTGGCTCCTCCCCTCTTCCTGCCTCCGCCTCCTCATTCCGAGCAGCGCTTCGGGGTGCTGATGGTCCACCGCGGCCCCTCGGCGGAGCTGAGCGCCCTTTGCGGCCCCCACTCTTTGGCCTGCACGCGCCTCGAGGTAATGCGCCTTCGTCGCTAGACAGCTCCCCAGCCAACGCTGCACTGACAGCAGCTCTGGCGCGACGCGTTGCCGCTCGAAGGGGTCGCCCACCGGGACCCACAGGAGAGGGATCCTCCCCACAAGGGACACCTGGAGCGGTACCACCACCCCCAGCACCACCGCCAGCAGCAGCACCAGCAGGAACAGCAGGCTGACGGCCCCCCAAAGATACACAAGCCCGTGAGGGAGAGGACGAAGAGTACGGTATGTCAGCGGCAGTTTCGGGCCTACGCCAACTACGACTGCTGCTGGTGCGGCTGCTTGTATCCTTGCTGCTACTACTACTGCTACTGCTGCATCCCTGGTTGCACTTTGCATGCTGCAGATGCGATCCGCTGACAAGAAAGACGGCGATGAAGCTCTGGGATGCCACAGCGACAAGAGAGCCACTGAAGAGTCCCACCATTGTCTGTGTGTTGCTGCTGTTGCTGCTGTTGCTGTCGTTGCTGTTGTTGTTGCTAATACTAGACCTTTCGGAACTGTTGCAGGGGTTGCTGCCAGCTGTTTGCTGCCCCTGTCTTTGCGGCAAGAAAGAAGGACAAGGGAAACAGATGGGAGCCGCAGGCGCAGCTACGAGGGGCTCTTCCAACTCCCCAACCCAATTGCATCGACTGAGCTGGATGCGGTGTTTGAACACCTCGGCAACGCTGCCGTCTACATTTCTCCGGTACAGGAAATGAAAAACGAATGGTGGCGAGTCAAGTGCATTGTCTCTCGTGCGCTGGTGACGCCACTCGGCACCCAAATCGGCGGCCAGGCAGAGACGCTGCAGGCAGACCCAACGCGCTGAATGTTTTGCAACCTGAACCCTTAACCCCCAACCCTAAACCGTACGCCTCACAAACGAAGGGATGTGCACTGTTAAGATACTGGCAAGAAACACACGGAAACGTCAAGGAGCAAGCCAGGCACACATCAGAGGATGCACGGAGGAGGAAGGCACTGCAGCAAGGAGACGAAGGCAGTCTGCATCTGCACCTCGGTTGCGGTCTCTGCCTGTTTCTACCTTTCATGCTGCCTGTCTGTGTTTCTGTCTCCGCCTGTCCCTATTTTCTCTTTCTGTACCTTTCCCTGCCTTTTCTTTGCCTTTTCCCGTCTGCCCTTCTCAGTCTCTTTCCTGCTATGGTCTAGCATGTCTGCCTGCCTCTGCCCTTGCATATCTCCACACCAGTCCCCTGCCGCCTATCGCAACTCGCTTTTGATGCTGTCACTGGTTCTGCTATTCTCCTTTTCTGTCCTTTTCTGCCTCTGCCTCATTCTGCCTGTGTTTGTGTTTGTTTGTGTTTAGCTCTTTTAGAGCGTTATATGTCCGTTTCCTCCAGCTCTGCTTCTGCCCCCTCTCCCGTCTGCTTCTCAAAGCTTCTCCAAAGGAGAAAAAAGAGAGGGCTACAGCAGACAAGCGAAGAAGACACGGACGGAAACAGACAGAAGGCCACGATACAGGAAGAAGACACAGGTAGAGAAAGATCCCCTCAAGCAACGGGAAGTAAAAACAGCTCCATCTGCCTCGTATGGGTAGCTCGCACGATACAGCCGAAGGAGCGACAAACATCCAGAGAAGACAGCTACGCATGAAGTTTCCCCAACCCCCCAAGTTCACGCGCGCAGTTTAGCCCACTCAAAGCCTACCTGAGGCAGAGGGTCTTCCTTTTCCCTGTGTAACCACAGTGATACACCACCGTCTCTCGTAGTCACCCCCAAGCACAAACAACCGCCCCCTCGCAACCCAGCCACACAGCGCCTAGAGACCCCAGAAGGGCCTTCTGCTGCGGGATGCGTCAGTAGCGACACTGAGAAGGCAGGCAGCCAACATACACACTGAAACCTGCGCAGAGCAGCAACAGCAACAACAGTTGCAATAGTAGCAGAGATAAAAGCAACCACACAAACCCATAGTAGAAGGGGCCTGAAGGCGATAGAGGCAGCACAAAACATTACAAAAGCCCGCCACACTTTGCAGCAGCAGCAGCAGCAGTGATTGCAGCAGCTACACAACCTGCACCATAAGAAGCGACTGCGGAGGCTGACGTGGCCAGGCATCGTCACCCTCCAAATCCCCTGTAAATTCGGAGAAGCTGCTAACACGTTATTTCCAGCTCAAAGCCCCAAGCTCGACCTTTCCTCACCTTCTGAACTGAGGATTAGAATGTGTCGCCCTTAATACACGCCGTACACATCGGATGGCCACAGCAGCTCTCGAGCCCTCCAGCACACCTTGATAGCTATCCCCCAAGTAAGCGGGAGGCCCTTCAGGGTTCCCGCCCTGAGAGCTTCCAGAGGGCTCTCCAGGAGTAGTTGGGCAGTCGGAGACCCGCAGCAGCCCCACCGTTGAGGATAGATGACCTCTGTGAGGGGTGGGGGCCTCAGCGTTTGCAGCAGCCGCAGCGTCGAGAAGAAGAAGCGTGCAACCGTCCGTTAAAGCCAAAAAACGACCGTCTCTAGAAAGACTCAATGAGGCCCCCGTGGAGCAAAATGCTGCATACACAACGAATGGAGAAAGCAAAAAGAAAACCATGCAATGGATTTCCCGTGGCTGCTGAGGCTCCTGCTGGTACTTCTGCCGATTCTGCACTGTCAGACCGAACATTTGCCAGATATAAGTATTGCTGCACCTGATGAACGGCTGAAGACCCCTCTCCAGATAATGCCATGGGACTTGAGGCTGGCGGTGACAAAGTCATCGCAGCCGCAGCTGCATGCAACAGAGGGGCCCTGAGGGCTTTCGCGGCCGAAGCCGTCTTGCTGTATATGTGTCATTGTAGTCGCTTTCAAAGATAACAGCCCTGAGCTGCGCATGCAGAAGAAATGTTGGATCCAATCCCGGCCTCAGGGCCCGTAGGCCGCTGAGCCCTCGCAACTGCCAATTGATCTCCCTAGAAACTCATTGTGGTTTTCCTTGGTGTTTTACAACATGGTGTTGATAAAATGGAGGCTACGGAACACCAACACGCCGGAAAGGGACGCGGAAGGGCCGGCGGTCTAGGACGAACCCAATGGGGCCCCCCGTTACGCTAGGGGCCCTTCCCAAGCAGATGACCTACAAATACACTTGGGTCCTTGGCGCATATAACTACAAAGGTGAAAAATGACGACAAATTTAATTTGCTTTTCCGCCTTATCTTGATGTGGTGCCACCATTTTACCGGGTTCATTGTGTTTTTTTCCGGCTCCTTAGTGATAAGGTCCCTTTCTGCCTGTATCTATAGTTCACTTTCCGCAGTAAGGGTCCCTGTGTGCAGTCTTCTTGATCCATTTAGAGGCTTGGAAGCAGCATTTCAACGGCTTTCCTTCAACTAAATCCCTCGATCAAAACAGAAGACCAGTGCGCATTGCGGGTCCCGATGCGCTTAGCATGAGACCTCCTTAAGAGGAGCAAATAACTTCCTTCCCAAAAATGAGAAATCCCAACGTGCAACTACAAGCCAGTCTTCCTGGCTAGATTGCTGAACCCTGAAAACGATTGTTAAATCAGTCTGCCTTCCTGCTGATTGCCCACCAACGACGTCGAAGCGTCCACAAGCCAGCTTCTAACTGACTGCCAAACATCAGACATATTTGTAGAACCAAGGCACAGGGAACAATCGAACCGCTTCTTCTGATTGGCTAGGGAAGAAGGTGCTGTACGAATCAGCATCATCAACACATATCATATTCCATATATAATTTAAACATGAATTATATGGCCCAAAATATCCATATATAGTCTATTAACTACCCGCCGATGCATATCTATATTTATATTTATGCACATTCTGCGCCTGCTGGGAGGCTCCAGAGCACCCAGGTTGTGGAAAGTTAAATTTTGTCCTCTGACAAAATTGGCGAAAGCCAACGTTGAGCTGTGGCTGTTCAGGCCGTCGCTTCATGCAAGATTTTCCCTTACTGCCTCTTTGTCTCCATACAGAACCGCTTAAATCTAAACTAGGGGGCCGCGGCCACCAAGAGGCGTTTTTAGTGTCTCTTCTAACATCACGTGCATGCCTGTGTAAGTGGAGTGATGCAACAGCGGCAGAGGCAGGGGGTCGAGGGGGTCGCTAGCAGACTGCTTTGTACGTGTATCCGCCTACGGTCCCTGCCTTCCTGAAGGTGCATTATCCCAGCAGCAGTAACAGCAGCCATGCAGCAACAAACCCTTGAGACCCACCCACCCGAGGGATAAAGAGAGATAGTGAGAGAGACAAAGCTGCAGGACAAATATACAGCTCCCTGTTTGTAGGTCTGCTGCCTGTATTGTCGCCGAATGTGTGGAGTCCTCTGGTATAGTTGTAGCTCCTGTGGTGGATCTGAGCCTCTTGCCTCTGCAGCAGGTCTCTGAACCCCCAAGAAACATTGAATGGGGGCCGTTGGAACCAGCAGAGAGCAGGCAAGAGACCGCAAGGGAAGCAACAGAAGCCAGGCACACTATGATGCGATTGTTTTACTCAGCCACCTAGTCACTACCTTCTTTCGGCATGCGAAGGGGAAAGGGTGACAGGCGATATAAGGGGAATCTCGGGCTGTCTCCATACGCAAAAAACACCGTCTCGTAGCTCAACTAGTTACCTCAACTAGTTACCTCAGGTATCTGCTGGTTGCACAAGTTCTGCGGCCTTTCTGTAGGCATTGTGTATCCCTTGAGCGACACGACAGGCTATGATGTTGAGGGTCTCTGATCAGTCCGTAACTCGCAGAGAGGCAGCTCTCCCTGTTAGATGAACTCCACCCTGCTACACATAAATCGTTTACTGAAAACGGAAATGTATGTGAATGCCATGAAGGGGTAGAGAGACACTACATTGATTCCGAGACTCCGGCCGGGTGAGAGGGGACCGGCAATTGCCTGATGCACTCCCTCTGCCAATGCGTAGGCTGTAGTTGGACGGACATACCCCTCCAGTCTGCTGCGGAAGAACAGCTTTTGGGTGTTTCTCGAAAGCTCCTTCTGGATGCGTTGCTGCTGTGGCTAGCAGTGTTTCTCCTTCTGTCGCTCGCACTGGTGTTCACAACAGGGCGCATTGTAGGTATTCTTCCTGAAGGGGACCCTATTCACTGATACCCCTCCACAGAAGTTCTTACTTCGCTAATGTGTACATATTTTGCCAGTTAGCTAGCTTGTTACCATGTTAACTATGGGAGAGGATAAAATTCCAAGGGATCGACCACAAGACAGCAGCTTTTTTAGAAACCCTCCAACAACGGCAGCAGGAGCAGTGCCATCTAAAAGAGCGTCAAATTCTTCTGTTGGCTTTAGGAAGGGCCTTACAGGAGTGTATCGATCAGTCGAAAACCTGCAGCAACTGCAGCGTGAACAGCAGGGTTTAAGGGAGCTGCTGGTGCTGGCCGGTGAAGTTGTTCCCTCTGGAGTTGTTGCAACGCAGCCCACGAAATAGATGGCCACAAGCCAGTACCCCTTAATTTTCCTTTTTGCTTGGGCACGAGTAATTGTTTCAGGTGCGGGGCTGCAGCAGCTGCGGCCGCGCGATCAGCAGCAACAGCAGCAGCAGGGGCGGCAGCCGCTGCTACACTGAGGCTGGGACATCTTGAGGCTTCAACAAGACCCAGGGGGCGGGTTGTGCTGGAAAAGTTTGTGTGGAAGAGGATTTTGTCCACTAGAGTGTTACTGCTGCAGCTGCTGCTGCTGCTGCAGCACTGCAGCTGTGGTCACCTTGTACCAGGACTCGCGAGGAGGCAACTGTGAGCAAATTTTCCATAGTAATGCGACGCATGCTAAAGAAGGTTTATTCGTTTGATCTTACTGCTTAGACGTCAGGGTTTACTGTTTAGGGTTTGGCATTCAGTGTTCAGCGCTTAAAGTTTAAGGCGTATGATTCAATACATCCACAAGGTCACCTCCACACGATCCCACCCAAGAAATCCCTGCGCTTCTTCTCCCCTTAAGAACAGCCTACACACACAAAGATAATCTTCTCACGTATGACAGCCATACAAGAAACAGGAGCGATACAAGCAGCAACAACATCAGCAACGGCAACCACAGTGACGGAAAATGGCGGCTGAAGAAGCATTGGGCAGAGAGTTGCAGCAAACGGAGCAAAATGAGCAGGAGCAGCAAAAGGAGGGCAGCCAGCAGAATCCAGGTGAGCAGGAAACTCAGAAGAAAGAGCAGCAGGGAGAAGATTTGCAGCAGCAGGACCAGAAGCTGGAACAGCCGCTCCAGCAGCACGCAGGAGAAGAGCCCCAAGAACAACATGAAATGAAGGGGGATCAGGAGTTGCAGCAAGAGATGAAAGGCGAGCTGCAAGAGCAGCTGCAGGGACATGGAGAAGAGGAGCAACTGCAGCAGCGTCAACAGGAAACGCCGCGGCAGTGCGACGAACAGCGACAGATGCAACAGAAGATGGAAGAGCAGCTAGAAATACAGGAGGCACAGGAGCAGCACGAGCAGCAGCAAGGTCTGCTGCAGGCCGAAGGAAAGCAAGAGGGTACGACTGAGAAGCCGGAGCAACATCAAATCGAGGATCTGCAGCAAGACGGGCAGCAGACCGGGCAGGAAGAGGAATCACAGCATCTGTCTGAGAAGAAACTGCAGAGGGAAAAACTGCAGCAACAGGAACAGCAACAGGAACAGCAACAGGAACAGGAGCAGGGGCAGAAGCAGGAACAGGAGCAAGAACAGGGAGAGGACCAGGGACAGGAACAGGAACAGGGACAGAAACGAGAAGAGCAGCAGGCGGATGAACTGCTGCAGCAAGATGAGCGACAGGAGCTTCGGCAACAGCAGCAAACAGAAAACAAAAGCCAGGAGCAGGAAAACCAGCAGCAACCAGATAACGTTTTGCAACCAGAGTGCCAGCAGCGGGCAGAAGAACAGCAGCAGGGTGAACAGCATCAGGCAGCCAAGGATCAGTGCCAAAAAGAAGGAAAAGAAGAAAGACTGCAAGGGGGAAAAAAGCCAAAGAAGCAGCAGGAACTCCAGCAGCAACCGTACAAGCAGCATCAGAATGATAAGCAACAAAAACCACAGCACGTCGAGAGGCAGCAAATTGAGCAACGGCAGAGTGAGCAGCTGCAGCAGAAGCAGGGAAAGCAACAGCAGAGGCAGAGACTAGGTGAACAGAAGCAGCAATTACAGGATGTAAATAGGCAAAAACAGCAGCAGCTGCAGCATAGGTCGACGCTGAAGAGCAAGGATGCAGGAAGAAAAGAGCAGCAGCAACAGCAGCAGCAGCAGCAGCAAGCACTTGAAGCAGCACCAGTAGGTGAGAGTGCTTGCAAGCATTTCTTTCCAGGGTTTCCACCCCTGCCCCCTTTTTTTCTCTCTCGAAATGCGGTACATTTTCAGCAGTAGCACAGCCCCATAATTGGCCCCAAAATGTATGAGCTACAGCCTGTCCCGACTTACCAGGAGCTGCTCCTGCTTCTACTGCTCTTGCTGTTGTTGCTGCTGCTTTTACTACAGCTAAAACAACCATGGATGTGCCCTCGGAAGATGCAGGGGCTTCTGGGTCTCCCGTGTCTCCGCAGCAGCAGCAACAACAACAACAACAGCAGCAACAAAAGGAGCATGAGCAGCAGCAGCAGGAACTTTTAGGAACGAAACGACTGAGCGAGGACTACAGTTTCCTCATGTTTGGCTCGCGCATCACCCTTGATGACTTCGATGGCTTTTCGGTGATGGGCGACACTTTGAAACCGTCGCAGCAGCAACAGCAACAGCAACAGCAGCAGCAGCAGCGTGACAGCGGCAGCTATTGGGTGGACCCTTTGAAGGAAAGGAGGCAGAAGATGGCAGCGAGAAAAGCACTCGAGGCAGCAGACGGCGAACTCGGGTTTGCACTGAAACAAATCAAGTGGAAGCACCGTTGTGTTCAACACGTAAACCATAAACCCTAAACCCTAGACAATAACGCATAGGCCTACGAGCACTTGAGTCGTCGCCCCTACTCCCTGCCCACTGCCGATGCCTGGGCCGCTGCCATTGACACGAGCAGGTCTTCTGCTGCAGCAACTAGTGCTCCTGTGCTGGGGTTGCTGCTGCAGACGTGTTGATGAGTGACCCGTGGTGCTGTCATTGTTGTTGTGGTTACTGGTGCTGCTGCAGCTGCTGTTGCTGCTTTGGCTGCTCGTACTCTGGTGCACTTGCAAAACCCCCACTGCCGTTCGATTCACGTCTTAGGGCTACGAGACAATGGCACAAAATTAAGAGTTTAGAGTTGAAGGCTACGGGCCACAGCTAATGGCTCCGGCTTTAATCCATAGAGTTTAGGGTTTAGTGCGCGCTGCAGGAAGTCCAGCTGCTGAGCCCAGAGGAAACGCGCACTTTGAGACAGCACCATACGCCGAGTGCACGCCGGGCAGCCAACCGTCAACCTGCCTACAGAAGTCAGTGTCAACCCTCGTGGCTGCCTCTGCTTCTGCTGTTGCTGTTTGCGTTGCTCTTTCTGGATTTGTTCTCTTTGCACTGCGGCTCATGCTGCGTAGCTAGGTGTGGGTCGTCAGCTGCTACTGAATGTGATTTGCTGCTGTTCCATTTCTCCATTTGCCTACAGTGGCGTGGAACAGATATGGACGTTCTTGCTGCTGCAGCTGCTGTCGGGTGTCACGTTGCTGGTATTACTGTTGTCATATGCGACGCTGCTGCTGCTGCTATCTTTGGGTGGCTCAGGCCGGGGATTGTCTCCACCTGCAACCAACCAGAGGCCAACGGATAGGAGCCGCAAAAATGAAACTCCAGATGCCGTAGCAGCTCTTCGGTGCTCCCTTCTAAACGCTAAACCCTAACCCTAATCCCTAGACCTTACACGTTTCGCACGCCTTCCTTACCGTGCAGCGGCGACAACACTCTGCATATCAGATTGGGCTCCCGTTCCTGGCTGTGTGGCTGTTGCTGCTGCTGCTGCTGCCGTCTCCTTTGCTTGCAGCCGCCTCATGATAGAGCTTCGCAAACGCGTGGCCGAGATGCCGTCTGACCCGGGGTAGGGTTTATCTCTCTGTTTTAAGGAGCCCCCAACCCCTAAACGCTGTATCCCCAACCGTGAAGCCGCATTATTATGCAGCTGTCTCGTTTTGTCTCCGTGTCGCTTCTGGTTCTTGGTGTGAAGGTGCCTGTCGCGCCCTCGCGTCTTTTCTCTCGCCGTCACTACTTGCAGCTGTCTTTGCGTTAATGTGTGACTAATTTCACCTGTATTTCTGTCTCCGTTTTTCATTCCGTATCTGGAGCCCCCATTTTACGTGTATCTATTTCCGTGTGTGTCTGCCTGTCTCCTGTCGACTTCATCCCCTTGCCTCTCTGGCCCCTTTTCTGTATTTGCCTTTGCCCTTGCTCCTCTTCTGTTTCTAGTCTCCTTCACGCTTCTTCCCCTGCCTCTCTGTCCCCCGCTCCACCTGGTTTTGCCCTTGCCTCCTTTTCAGTGTATCTGTGTCAATATCTGTCACTGCTTTCATCTCCGTATGTGTTTCGGTTTCTGCTTCTGTTTCTGTTTGTCTGTGTCTAGCGACCGCCAAGGTGCTTCAGATATCCCTTTATCTTTTGAGCGGCTGAACGGAAGGCGTGTTGCCTCTTTTAATAGCAGCAACAGTATCAGCAGCAGCAGACAAGCGTCCATGGGGCCTGGGCAAAACCCACAGGAGAGCAACAGTAGCAGCAGCAACAACACAAACACGGGCGCATGCAGCGAGGGCGAGGAGCAGTCGGTTTTGAATTTGAACGGCGACGATGAAGCAACATATGCTTCTGCAGCAGCAGCAGCAGCAAACCAAGGGGATCCAAGACACCCTGGGGCCCTTCCTGGGTTTGTTCACTGGCTAGCAAGGCTTGAAATTTTAGAAGCACTCCGCTGTATATTCCACGATGATGCCTCCTTTTCGATCAACAGCAGCGCCAAGATAGAAGCCATGCTGGTCCTGAAGGTGCAGCAAACCAGCATAGCTGCACCCGTCCATGCCTGCACAGCCTGACGCCGCCACCATACGCATGCACATCGCCCTACAGAGACAGTCTTAACAATGCATGCATGAATTAATGCAAGCAGGCAGGCATACTTTGAGGAGCGCCAGCATCTGGGTATATGGGGCTCGGGGGTGCGCTGGAGCGCAGAGCATTAACATATCTTATGTCACACGCCTGCTGTCGTTTGGGATGTAATCCAGCAGCCCAGGACAAACTAGGGGAACCGTCTGCTGCTTTGTGGGGCTGCATGCGCCCGCAGGCTCTACTGAGGAGATACAGACAGGAGAGGAGACAACAGCTGGCAAGCAGCGACGCCCCCGCTTCCAGTACGTCCCGTTTGTGGCTCGCCAGTTAGGCAGCCAGGTAGCTGCTTAGCTAGCTGCTTACCCAGCTAGTCAGCCTCTAGGACTAGGGATGTCTGCGCTACAGGTTCAGCTGGTGGTGTGGGCTGCGGGACGGCACGGGCCACGTGCATTCCGGGACCTGGGGAGAAGCGGCCGAGGCGCAAGTCGTTGCGTTGATGGAAAAACCTGAATGCTTTAAAATGGAGGCAATGACTCAGAAGCACCAGAGGATTCGTAGTCTTAAATGCCCAGCACAGCACACACCACGCACGGAGTCTCTCCAGATTCGGCTGCAACAAATGGACCGAAAAGGGGCCTCTGCTGGCCCCCCATACATGCATGCAGGAGTACGTTCAATCACGCCTGCGGAGTCCCCTGCGGACCAGGAAAGTCTCTATACGAACAGTGGCAGACGAGAGGGAGTTCTTTGTCAGCACCACAAACTCTACCACTTCAAAAAAAAAATAGTCTCCATGGGGTGACGTACGACACCAGCATGCATACATGCTGCGATAACCATATTTTTATGTATCCGTGTAGATCTACATTTGTTGCCTTAGGAGACACGATCACACTCCTGACGAAACGACAACCAGAGAGGCTGCTGCATGCGAAGAGTTGCAGCTGGTCACTCCTGACGGTTTGGGGTTTCGCTTTTAGGGTTAACAGTGGGGTGGGTGACATATATTCAGAGAAATAGTCGGGGGGTTCCTTAAGGCTACTGTTTTGAAGGAACGGCACTCAGCCTCCTAGCCATCATAACGGTTTAGGGCCTAGTGGCATGCTAAGGGTCACCGCCTATCTCAGGATGCCCTGCGGCTGCAGTTGGGTGCTGCCTGGATAGCGAAACCGCACTAGCAACTGACACAGCTATCCGGTAGGCACAACAACCATCTGTCGAGCGCCGCGCATCAGCAGTGGCAGCTGCCGCTGCGGGTCTTGCTGTAGATGCTGCAACAAGTCTTCCTAGCTGTTCCAAACGCTGCCTACAAGCAAACCTTCCCTTTTTGCTTGCATTGAAACTGAGGTGCATCAGCTCCTCCTAGCCATGACAGGAGGTCCTGCTGATTGAATGGGAGGGTCTGGTTATCTAGTTGCCGCTCTGGTCAGCTAGTCGCCCACAGCTAGCTATCCGGCCGGCCAGCTAGCTAGCTACGTAGCCGCGGCCCAGCATATGCCAGCCAACAAGAAATGCCATTTCCACAAGCGATATGGGGGAGTCTGCGAGAACAATCAATTGGGCACGCGCCCGGGCTACAGGCGCTGCTGAGGCTGCATGCGTTGGGCGCGTATGCGTTGAGACTGCATGTGTGCTGTCTCTCCGTCAAGATATCATGTTGAGAAGCTCTTGTGTTGCTTCGCCAAGGGGAAGATCGGGTTGGACACGCTCATTGAGTGGTGGCAGCAGCTGCTGCAGCTGCTGCAGCTGCTGTTGCAGCTGCTGCAACGTCACGCTGTCAGAGAGGAGGGTCCCCACCCCCACTACAGTGTGGTAGAAGAGCTGCGGATCTGTCTCCGAAGCCATTAACTCCAGCATCAGCTCCAACAACTGCACCCATAGCACCAGCAGCAGAATTTACGTACACACTCACTCACCGGCAGCTCGGCAGAAGCAGCAGCAGCCAAAGGAGCGGCAACTGCAGCCGTACTTTCGGCAGCAGCATCCATAGCAACTGCAGTATCCATAGCAGCAGTAGCAGCAACAGCATACCTGCATTTTGTGCTGCTGCGACAGCGAGTTGGGACCGAGTGCATGAGAGGAGACAGCCAAATTCAAAAGGAGACAGCTGAAGGCCTGGCGGCAGGGGCGAGAGTGGAAGAGAGACATAGCAGAGGCAACTGTCTTTAACGTGCTGAGGAGCTGCGCGCACGTACCCACACCTCAACAGAAAGAACAAGTTACGTACAACAAACCACAGCTGCTGCTGGTGCTGCTGCCTGCAGCAGCCCCATACGGCAACAGGCTGGCCCCACCACACACACACACACACACACACACACACACACACACACACACACACACACACACACCAAATGAGCTGTGCAAGAGCAGCAGCACAACGGACCTGCTGCGCATGCTGCAGCAACACAGCCCTGTTTGTGGGGAGCACCAGGAGATTAGCCAAGAAACGCAGGCAGCACAGAAGCAAACCTGCTCCTTGCACCTGCTGCTGCTGCTGCTGCTGCTCTGCTGCTGTAGCACAAGTCTCCTTGATGCGCTGCAGGGCGAGCAGCACGAAGTCCCATCTGTAGCAGAGACATGCACACGTAGGTGGGCCCGTGATAATTCCGTGGCTGCTGGCTAGATAGCTGGCTGGCCCTTTTTTCGTCGTCGCACGTGGCATGCTAACATTGATTGGTTAGCCAGCTGCCTGGCTATACGTGACGACCTTCCAACTGAAGTGTGCAGTAACACAACAGGGCACAAGAAACAGCAGAAGCAGCGGCAGCACCTGCTGCTGCTGCAGGTGCCTGCGTTGACTGCTGCGAATAGGGGATAGGGACCGCTGAGGCGGCAAGGATGATGCTGAAGAAGAAAGGATTGAGGATAAACGGAGAAAGGGGACAGGAGACACTTTGTGAGTGGACTACGGTGTGCAGGTAACATCTACCCGTTGTTCGTTGTGTTTTTACACGCCAAGGAATACTGGGGATGGAGACACAAGAGACGCCACAAGTCAAAGACAGGCAGCTGCTGAGCAGCAGGGAAGAGGGACAGCTGCTGCATCATTACATGCACCTCGCTGGCCCTGCAGCAAACAGCAAAGAGGAACACACCCACATACAATCACTAGCAAGGGATCAGATAGAGATACATAATGAGGCACTCAAGCAGCAGCAGCAGGAGGCGCACGCAAGCAACATATAATAGAATGAAAACAGGGAAGCGGAGACACCCTCATCTCCTCTCCCTTTTCAACAGACACACGCTATGGCTACTCCAAGAGGAGACAGAGACAGCCAACAATCTTAACCGGGGTAACACAGAAGAAATAAAGGAGACAGTGAACACGCAGAGATAATGTAACGGCAAAAGAGGGGGAAGCGGAGGCAAACGAGGGCAATTCGAAAAGTGGCACAAAAAGGGGGGCACAAGCAGCAGCGACAGCAACAGCACCTAAAGGTCTCCTTCAGAAAGTTGTCGCTGCGCAGCTTATCGAGGGCAGCACTAAGATATGATTCATCCAAAGTAGACAACTGGGCCTGCAGCAGCAGAAGCAGCAGGTGCAGCAGAAGCAGAATATTCAGCAGATGCAATAGCAGCAGCTACAGGAGCACGGCCCTTCCACCATTGGCACACGAGGTACATTGAGAGGAGAAAGCGGCAGCAGCCCATTCAGCAGCAGCAGCAGGAGCAACAGACCTGGTCTTCTTGTTCTTTAAGTGTCTGTTGAGCCTCGAGGAGGCCTTTCTGAAGGCCTCCAATATTAGCTTTAAGGAATGAAACACACTGCAGGACGGGGATGTGTTTCTGCAGCCTATCTGTGCTGTTGCTCCTGCTGCTGCTGCAAGCTGCTGTTGCTGCTGTCCCTCCTGCGCTGGCTGAGGAGACAGCCCCTCCAGCTCCGCCGGTGTTTGTATTGATGAAGGAGACAATCTGCGGCAAGTATGTCTTGTGTAACCCCTCCCTAGCAGCAAACTTCTCGCTGACCACCAGCGGATTCTCCCCGCGGCTGCATGTGAACCGCAGCTAGGCACACATACAACTTCGCTATCTAGATAGCTAGCTACCTGGCTGGCTAGCTGCTGCAGAAAATACCACGCATCAAGCATGCTACTGCTAAGGACTGAAGCAGATTTCCCTTGGAAGGCTAACCATATAGCCGCTAACTAGCTAGCCATATAGCCGTGCGTCTCAGCTGAACACAAATGACTACCTGCAGGAGCGCAACAGTGGCATGGCATCAGCAGCTAGCTAGCCAGCTGCCAAGATGGCTAGCTGCAGCTGATGGGCAAACGCCTTACTTGAAGGGAAGCTTCTTGTATGTGCCCTCGTCTCCAATCTCCACGTCAAACACAAAGTCGTACTCCCCTGCAGCAAAGAACTGCAGCAGAAGCAGCAGCAGCAGCAGCGTCTGCGCTGCAGATCCTTACTCATCGAACTCCCGCTGTCCCTTCTCTTTAAAGGAACCATCAACACTCCCACAACTCACGATACAGCAGCGCACCAGCAACAGCAGCGCCACCAACTGCAGCTGCCTGCGTAGCAGCAGCAACAGCAAAAGCAACGGCAGCAGCCGGCCTACCTGGTCTCCAGGGAAGTACGTTTTTTGTTTGGTTCTCTCTCTTGTATTCTTTATAGGGTTTAACGCCATCCCCACGAACTCCCACTTCTGCTGCTGCTGCTGCCACACAAAGACAACCGCCTCGTCCCCTCGTCTACATACCTAAACACACAAACACCGCAGCAGCAGCTGGCTGTTGCTGCTGTTTCTGCTTCTACTGCTGCTGCTGCTTTTGCTGCTCTGCAGCAGCAGCCACTGCTACAGACGGTGAATGTACCACCAATTCTCCGTCCTTAGCGCCGACGCGTCGCTGCGTTCACATAAGGAGACACATACCAACACACGCTGCTGTTGCTGCAGCTCCTGATGCTGCTGCTGTTCTCAGGGAGCCTAGTGCAGCAATGAGAGCCACACAGCAGCAAACAAACAGAAAGCGGCAGATACAAGAACAGTGCAACAGCAATACGTAAGCTGCAGCAGGAACAGCAGCAGCGACAGCAGCAGGAGAGGGAGAAAACGAGAAATGTGGCAACGGAGACAGTACACAACAGAGCAGCATCGGCAGCAGCAACACATGAAACAAAGCAGCATATTTGGAACAGCAGGAGCGGAAGGCAAAGCACCGGAGCCACAACAGTAGAAGACTATGGGAGGGACTCTAAATGAGAGCTAGGGGATGGGAGGAGACAAATAGGGGCAACAGACTAGAGACAGACACAAATGAGACGAAAGCGAGGACACAAATACACGAGTGAGAGAGAGGCAGAGGGACAAATACAAAAGGAGACAGAGAAAATACACTACGTGTTTGTCTACCTTAAGCTCTGCTTCAGTTGGCAACTTTTGCAAATCCAACGCCTCTCCTCTTTCTTCCGTGTCCTTGCCCGCTGCCTGCAGCACACAATGCAAAATGCTGCTATTGCTGCTATTGCGGCAGCAGCTGCTACTGCTTGGGTTTCCGTTGCTCCTGCTGTTGCTGGTGCTTCTGCTCTTGTCTTGGCATTATGAATGGCTACTAGACAGAGAACAAGCGATCCATTTCGGTCCTCCTGCTCCTTCACATATTGCTGCTCCTTGTATTGCTCCTGCTGCTGCTGCGATGGCTGCTGCAGCTGCTGTACAGCATGTGGACTTACAGCCTCAGCCTCTGCTTTTGCTGCAGCAATGACATCAGCCGGCAGCGCCCGCGCTTCATCTGCTGTCCATACACTGAAAGGCAGCACAAGCAACAGCAGCAGCAAATATCGAACGCAGACAGAATATGCAGCACCAATTATAGCTGCAAAAGGGCCATAAATATACTTCAAAGAACACAAAAGAAAGGTCTCAGTGGAGGCAAAAGGAAATATACAAAGGGGGACAGAGATATTACAGAGAACAATGCAAAGACATGGAGATACGACAATGAGACAGCGACAGGGGGAAGGAAAGTACGAAACAGAGAAAATGAGGCAGGGACAAAGGGGTTAAAGACAAGGAGACACAATTCACCGCAGGGCTCCATCTTCACAGGCCGTCGCCACGTCGCCTGTTGGCAGCTCCAAAACCTGTAGCAGCAGCAGCAGCAATTTCAGCAGCCACAGCAGCAGGAACGACAACTACTGCCGCAGAAACAGTCGCCGCGGGAGCCCAGCAGAAGAAGCAGAAGCAGCAGCAGAAGCAGAAGCAGCACGCCAGCAGGATCAGCAACCGAAGCAGCAGCAGAAGCAGGAGCATACCTGCCAGACAGTAGCGGGATGCTGCAGTTGCTGCAGCGAGGAGATAGATGGCGCAGCAGCATCCGCTGACTCGGGCAGCTGCCACAGGCAGCAGAGACCATCGTCTCCTGCTGTGTACAGATAGCCAGGGCGGCAGGCTGAAACGCAGCAATCTGCACCAGCAGCAACAACAGCAGCAGCAACTGAGACAAGGAGATAGCGAAGGTGCGGAGGAGACATCAGACAGGGACAAAATGCTCAGACAGAGAGACAGACAGAAAGAGACAAAAGAAGAGGCATAGAGAGATACATACTGAAGCAGAGACAGGGACAATAGAGGATATGAGGACATCAGCAAGGAGCGGGAAGAAGAAGGAAAGGGGAAAAGGAAATAAACAAGGAGTCTAAATAGGAGACAGGCCTACTAAATATAAATGCCTCATGGGCATCTTCCTTCGTTGTTAAACACTGGCCGTCTCCTCCCCACAGCTTTATCCGCCGGTCGTTAGACACACTCACAAACCTGTTGCTGCTGTTGGTGCTATTGCTGCTGCTGCTGCTGCTGCTGGGGGGCAGTGCGGCGATACAGCGGATGATGTCCTCGTGAGCATCTGCAGCGCAGAAAGGAGACACGTTTGCTACATTTATTGTCTCCCTTTCTGTCTCCTTTTGTCCCTACTATATTTATATCTTGTACTTTCTAACTTCTCCTTATTCGCCCTGCTGCTGCAATTCTTTAAACTTGTTTACTATTCTGCTGCAACTGTTAGTGCATTCTTCTGTTCTCTTGCTGCTGTTGCTGTTGCGGGTGCTGCTCCCGTTGCTGTTGCTGTTGCTGTTGCTGTTGCTGCTGCTTATTGTGCTTGCAGGAGCTGGTCGGCAGTTTCCCTGCCTGCCGCCCCCCCCCC